TCTAAGGATATATAAACAAACACTAGGTTTATATTCATCTTTTTAATTAGCAAATATACATATTAAATCAGAAATTATCACAGGCTCATCTTTGTCCAACTGAAACTAGCATTATAATTATATTTCCATCTATATATAAGAATGATTATAAATGTATAAATTCTAAATAAGTTATAAAAAAAATTCATGTACATAGGTAGTATTACAGAAACATATACAGACAAAACGAAAGATAATCAGGCTTTAGGAGGCCTGTTTCACAGATTCTATTAATAACCTCATAATTAGAACAAAAAATTAAATTAACAATAATAATACCAATATAAATATCATTTCCTTTGCAGCAAAATGTAAAAAAAAAAAAAAAATATCAGAATCATCTATACCTTCAAACACTGAAAGATACTTTATGAAAAAAAAGAAAAAATGAATACATGATGAAAGAAGAAATAAGAATGTGAAAGACGACCTTTTACGGAGAGACATAAAGAGTATCATGCACTCGGAAGGCACATGAGGTCAGTCAGAAACAGGCACTCTGTGTAGAAAAGTGGTTCTCAACCTTTGTGTTGTGCAAAGAGAGAAAAATTACAGAAATTAAGTCAAAAGTTACTGCAATTAAGTCAATCCTGTTTATGAACAAGCTTCTGTGCATAACAATAATCCTTATTCAGCAAAAAATAGATATTATTGTGCAATAAGTATACACGTCTGAAAACCATACACCCATTTTGTTTGTATGTATGTATATTCTATTAATTTAATATTCTGCACGAAAGGGTAAGACATCATTGCCTTATAAATCTGTAGTAATACATACACATGATGAAGGTTGACAACCACTCAAGTGAGATCTTGACAAGTGTTCAAAAGTTGAAGCTTAAGCACTGGCAAGCATAGCCTTTTTGACTTCTTTTTATTTTAAGTCTTTGATGTGTGTGTGTATGTGCTTGTGTGGAAATATTTTACTGTCATAATATTTGTGACTCCGACATAATACCTATGATATAGGTACACTTTGCCACTAGAGTTCACCTCCACCTAGCTATTTTCCATTTTCTTTAAGGAACTGAACATGATTGATTGATTATTTAAAATTATTTGCCGCATCAACAGCTAAGGTCATTAGTGGGAACTGAATATGCACTTATGAAGTTGGCAATGACTGATTGACTGCCATATATCCAAACTTCATTATTGTTTTTTTAGTAAATTATCATCTCCACCAGGCAAGAATATCTCTACCTCAATAAAATGAAAAAGATAAAAAAAAAAAAAAAAAAAAAAAGTGTTTTAGTCATGTGAGTTGGTAACACTGTGTGTGGGATGAGATGTGTTGCTGGTTATCCATTTACCAATTATGGACATTCTGTTGTGTTCATTCTTTGATGTACCCTCTACCTCATCCTGTATACAGTGTTAACAGCTCAAATAACAAAAAAAAGTAATAGTTAGGTGTTTGTGAACTCCATGACTGAGTGTACATCAGATCTATGAAGACTTTTTTTTTCTTATTCCTTTCTGAGTCAAGTTTTCTTCTTTAGAAATTACAGGTAAGACATCTACATTAAACAAAAATAAGAAAATAGCAGGAATGAATTGTGTTATTAATCTTTGTTCTTAGAGTACAACTATTTCTGAAAAATATGTATTATTTTTAAAAATATATGCATAAGTGGAATCCACTGTTTTTTTTTTTTTTTTTTTTGCCACTGTCACCAAAAGTGCAATAAAAGCACTGTCTACTGTAGTTTTGTTTATCATTCATGTTCACACGCAGATGGCTACACAAGTGCTATGTTATTAGGACTACCTAACTTCTTTAGTTTCATGAAGAGAAATTAATATTTGTACATTCAGTATCAGAATCAGTATCATTATTACTATTCTGATCTATTCTGGATCTAGGTGATGGAGACTTTTTGTCATGACAATACTTTGCTGTGGGGTGCTGACAAGAACAACTCGACATAAAAAAATGAAAAAAAACTGTTGACAAGTGAAGGGTGACAGGGATGTCATGTCATGAGTCCACAAATCTTTAGAAAGGGGTTCTTGCATTATTTTCACCAGTAAATGAGGGTGGAGTGTACCATCCATAAGCCATGCCTGGAAGAGCAACAGTTCCAAAGAGGACACTCTATCCATGCTCAGGAAATATTCCAGCCCACTGTTACCGACAGCATAGGGCATGTTACAGAAACTGATCAGTTGTGTTACTGTCATTGCACAGAGTAAACTACCAAGAGAGGTAATAAGGAGTCTACTCAATGAAGACTATCTATTACCATCTTGATACAGCATAACAAATAACAAACATATATCTTGGAAAATGACTTAAGAGCAAAAATGCATCTGCAGAAAAAGAGATAGTAGCATTGCAAAGAGGACGAAAGTCTTGATACAGTACATGAATGTTACACAGTGTAGGTCAGAACAACATGCCACACCCCTCAAGTAACCTAGATCCAACAGTTATTACAATAATAGAAATAATGATAATAATAAAAATATATTAGTAATGATAATAATATATTAATATATAATGATCATAATATATTAATAATAATAATAATATATTAAGTGACAAAGGGTCACCTCCACGAGGAAGAAGGCGGGATAGTAGGCTGCGAGGAAGGGATGATATGGCTGAAGCAGGGGGGGATGAGATGTACTGAGAGCGGATGGGAGGAAGGGGTGTAGGGAGAACACAAGTAGGAGGAGGATGGATGTTGGCAGTTACTTTGAGTGTAGAAGGAATGGGGGTAGAGAGATAGGAGGAAAGTTGAGGTGCAGGCATGTTATCTTGGGACAGGATAGTTTTGAATGTCTTCGGGAGATTCTGCATTGGAGTCAGTTGGGGAGGTCTGAGAAACAAAGGTTTCCTTATGGGGGGGAGAAGAGGGGATGGATGTTTGAGGGACGGAGGGAGAGGTTGGTGGAGAGGATACGACTGAAGTTGGGATGGAGCATTAGTCTTGTGGGACGAACTGGGTGGGGAGACAGAGGGTTAGGTACCAGGGAAGTAGTGTTGGAGTGTCTGGTACAGTGGTGGAGATTGGGGTGTCTGTATTTAGAATGGCAAAAGAATTTGGCTAGAAGAGGGAGGGGGGTAGAAGTGGGATGAGGAAAGGAGAAGGGTAGAGCAATAATTGGAGTAAGGAGTGAAAGAGACACCTTGGCAACATGCTTTCTTTCTGGCTTCAAACAGACTGAGGCCAAGTCAGTCTGAGAGTTGCCATTTCAGACTCTAATTTGTAGGTAGGGCAGCTCATATGAAATACATGACTGTGCAGTTTAATAATAATAATAATAATAATAATAATAATAATAATAATAATAATAATAATAATAATAATAATAATAATATCAATAATAATAATAATATCACCATCTATGATGATTATAGTACTTACATAACCAAAACAGAAAATCCAAGGAATAGGGTACGTAGATGAGATTAGGTAGGCCTGGTAATAACTAAGCACTTGTGAAGCCATCAACATGTAAACAAAAGTAATAAAACAAACAAAAGTGAACAATGCATGCACCTGACATCAACAGATTTACAAAGATATCATTGAAAATAAAGCATTTTGTGTATTATGCCAGATACAGATATGACATAACTATGAAAAAGATTTCTACTGATAGTATTGTGCATAACTATACATGTTTCCATGTATTATATACTTATACCTATAATGTACAAGATATATGCTGCATAAAGCCTTCCAGTGAAAATTGTATAAAATAAAGACACTATGTACAGAATGTATCATATTATATCAATCTTTTTTCTTTTTTTGTCAATAAAGGAAAACCTTTCAGTCATCCCACATAAGCAATTACCATTTTTTCTATTCCAAATAGTACCTTAATAAAATATGCAGAATATTTTTCTTTGTTGCCAAGAAACACTGATTTAACCATTTCAAAGTCCATTACCTGCACTAACCTTTTTTCTAGGTTTCTAGGTTTTCTTTCTGTACAAAGTCATCTACTATACATATCCAAGACTTCATCTGAAAGGATGACTAAAATGTTGCACTTGAGATTTATACAAAACGTTTTTCATATTTTTTATCAGGAAAAGGAAAAATGTAAGTCACATTCATTAAAATATTCTCTATAATCCTTGTACTATTTATGGTTTAAATATGTTAATCACAATAACTTTCATCTCTTTTGTATATGGCTACCTATTTGTTTGTCTGTCTGTCTATACTTGTCTGTGTCTGTATTTCTGTCAACAAAAACTTCTTCCTTCTCAACCTCTACTTCTATTACTACTGGTATCTCTATCTCTATCTCCATCTCCAACTCTCTCTCTCTCAGATTATACTCTTCAACAATAATACTATCACCCCATTGATGATCCATCCAACCCTTGAATAATTAAAACCCTTCATCATGCACAGAGAGATGCCCCACTATACTGTGAACACAACCATTTAAAAATATACTTATAATGGGGAGTTCAAGATCTTATCAATTACAAATTTCAACTGATCCCTTACCTGTCTAGTTTAATTAAAAAATCCCACATTAAAATTACATGCAGTATATCATTTGATCGAAATAAAATAAACAGTTAATTGTATGTCCTAGCTATTGAGTGTTCAATCCCTGCCAGCTCAGTTGTGCTTGATATATCTCAGCATTCAAGTTCTCTTTGGTTTGAGCTGAGGTAATTAGTCTTATACACAACAAGAAAGGTGAAAATGTCATAAGTGAAATAACCCTGAATATACACAAGCAAAATTTCTTCCTCAGTTCCATATGTAGAAATAGTAATTACGGCATACAATTCATATGAAAATGAAGTTCTCCAATATCCTCCCTCCAGGCATTAAAAAAATGTGAAGCTTAAAAACAATAATCTTCTATACAAGGTCCTATGAGGAAGGCATTAGCAACTAACTTCACTGTTCAATTATTCAAGAGGACCTTGTTATAGGTGTGTAAATTATCCTGTAAAACATATTTATAACCCATTAACACTAAGAAATGCACTATCCACAATGCTTGTTTTCCTTTTTGCTCATCGAGTAATCAGTTATTAGGAAAAGTTTTTACTTATTACTGTTAGTAATGATAATGATAATAATAATAATAATAATAATAATAATAACAATAACAATAACAATAACAATAATAATAATAATAATAATAATAATAATAATAACAATATTTTTTCATTACTATTATTATTATTATTATTATTATCATTATTATTAGCTGAGTAGTATAAATATATATTATATTACTATAATATTCTTGAAATAATAAGATATAAAGATAAGAACTTTGCGAAAAAAAAGTTATGGAGTAATTAGTGATATTCGATAGACCTAGTAACTGATTCCTTTGTGACTAAGTGCTTGCGGACCCATCTACATATTACAAAATAACACAAAACCACAATGGACATGAATACATATATGCACTCCAAGTACCAACGGGTTAAAATAGGCTACATATAATAAAGCAGTCTCAAAAAATATAATAATATTATGTAAAATAAGCATTCAAAATATTCTTTTTCACACTTTTACCAACATCCTGTATCTGAAAATAATATACATCTAAATTTATATATCTTGAAGGAAGTTATAATAAGTTCAAAACATGAAGACGAGAATCACAACCTTTCCTCACGATTTCCACTTCAAACTAATGCATTACAGCACTAAAAAAAGTATGGTATAAAGTGACTAAACTATATACTTAACATGTGTATATATATATATATATATATATATATATATATATATATATATATATATATATATATATATATATATATATATATATATATATATATATATATATATATAAATAATAGATGTAAATGTCTGATGACATTACTTTTCTATCAGATTATTTAATGAAAATATGACTTACATGCTCAGTAACAGTACTGTAGACATGTGAACTGAAATCCAAAATTAAAGCCACCCTTGCAGAATGGCAAAAATGCATGCCATGCAATGTTCTTATGATTCTAATTTGTCAATTGTACTTACACCAAATGGTTCGACAAGTGCTCTTTTACCAAGGAGTCAGTTACTAGTCCTATCTGTCATCTGTTGACCATTTTCCTAGATTTTTGGATTTTTTTTTTTTTTTGCTATCACTATTACTGACAATAAGAACTTCAGTATGATTAGCATAAGAAAAAAAAATCACTGTTTGAGAAATCAGGTAAGATCACGTAGGCCTACTAACTGGTTCCTCGAGGCTGAGCACTTGTGGGGTCATATAAGTGCAAATAATATTCTCAAAACAAACTTCAGTGGACAGTCCATGTATCCAGCAACAATGGGTTTATTTACTCTCATGTCCAAAATATATTCATACAGGAAGGCAAAACAGATAATCCTCATTTTATGGTGTCCCTGGCTACAGTATTTTGCTGGAAATATACGGAAGAGGCAGATGACATAGAATTCCTCACATTTCAAATGGTGGAATTTACTGAAGAACTCTTTCTCCCAAGAGAACACAGCTTAGAAAAAAGGAAAAAGAAAATAAGAACACAAAGAATCGACTGTAAAGCAGCTTGCTGAGATTTGTTACATTGTGGATGTGAAACATTACAACATTGATGATGCCTACTGTCCAGGGTTAGTGTAAGTTTTCTTAAGTTGTATACAATGCCCATTTTCTTCAATTATTTCGTGTATGTGTGTGTGCCTGTGTGTATGCTTCCTTGGTACCGTTCCCGCGACCAAAGCAAGGTCGGGGACCCATTCAGCACAACCTTCACTTGGCTCCAGGCTCCGTGCCCATACACACCTTTGTAAGTATTCCTAATGTATTGGCATATACGACAGTTATGTTTTTGAGTTCCTGAAATGATTAACTTGGATATATTTTGTTAATGTAACTATGCTAATGGTGGTTTCTAAACATTCACAGTCTCCACTTTTATAAAGGTGAAAGCTGACGTTATTATTCGGAAGCACCTTTTCAAGACGGCTGACAAGGGTCTGTGCTCAGATTCTATCTAACAAGCAAACAAGTTATCCGTGAAGACCTTTATTCAGTACCATATTAATGTTGAGTTTCTTGAGGATGCAGATTTTGGTTTTGTTTTATGTGTACATATTGTAAATATATTGGTGAAATGTGCCCTGATATTATAATTATCCTGGAGAAATACCTACTCATTTAAGGATCAAAACTGAACTTATAAAAAAGAGGAAATACAGCTAAAGAAAACCTCAACACCTACCCAAAGAAGAAAAGAAGTACAAAAGTTGAATGAGATGGCAGAGAAAGTTTTAGCTGTCACGAAAAATTCTTAAAGGAGAAGACGAAAACCAGCAAACAAGCCTGGCCCCTACGACTTAGTATGCCTCTGAATGGCCGACCATTACCTGCACCACTGTCATTCACCAAGTCTTTCTCTCTAACACCTATCTGTCTTGTATTATTGTGTATAATATATTTATACATGTATCATCTGTTCAAGTAGTTTTATTTTATGAAATT